AAGAGCTCATTTGAGCCTGTCCTCTCTTTTGGCAAAGATTCAAACTCAGGGATGGCTCTGCCTCAGTGTGACCCTTGTGTGTCGGTGCCCCCAGCCCTGCCTGGTGGCCGCTGGGGCACAATTTCCTTGCGGTAATAGTACCCTCCCTTCCCCTTTGGTCTCTGGGGCTTGGGGAGAGAAGCAAATCTCACTGTCTACTCTCTGCCTCTTTCTGGCTGTGATTCAACTTTTCTGGGCCCTGGTTTCCTGACCTACACAAGGGGAGTTGGAACAGCATTGCGGTAGAGTGCAACCTGTGACGCCTGCCCACCTCACCCAGCCCACCTCATCCCTGCCAACCTCACTCAGCCCACCTCACCCAGCCCACCTCACCCCTGCCCACCTTACTCATCCCACCTCACCTCTGCCCACCTCACCCAGCCCACCTCACCCTGCCCACCTAAACCAGACCACCTCACCCCTGCCCACCTCACTCAGCCTGCCTCATCCCTGCAATTCTGCTGCTCTGGCTGCCCTTTTGTTCTCAGACACAGTCCGCCTCAGTGTTTTTGCACTTGCGGTCCCCTCCACACACCCAATTCTTTTTTGTCATTTGCCACTCAGCACAGAACCCACCTCTTTTTCCAACAAATCCAGAGTGATATGTGCCCCCCACTCTTTATCACATCACCTGCCCCATAGGTTTCAATAGGCTTTTGTTCTCCAAATTTAGTGCACTTATGTATTTGTCACTCATGCATCGTCTGTTTTCCCCAACCTGATGCACCCTCTAAGAGGGAGGGTCTAGTCCATCTCATTTGTACTGTGTTTCCAGTGCCTCACCAAGTTTTTGGCACACAGTAGGCATGATAACCACTGGTTGAAGAAATAATCCTTGCCTAATTTTGCTGTTCTCAGGATTAGATGAGATCACGTGTCCCTAGAGTGCCTGGCACATAGTAGGTACTTAGTGAATGTTCAGCTCTTCTTATTGCTGTTTTGTCCTCTGCTCTTTTCTCAGGTCAACTTATTCCTACATTTTTCTCTGTTCACATGTTTTGCCCCCTCTCCCCCCCGGCTGAGGTAATGCTGATGGGAAACTTAGGATCCATCCAGCCAACCAGCAAGTATTTGTTGAGCGCATTCTAAGTACCAGGCCCTGTGCTGGGCACAGAGCAAACAATGTATAAAACAGATAGAGTTCCTACTCTCAGGGAGATCGCCTCTGGGGGAGGCTCAGACAAAGAGGCAAAGGAAAGCTTTTATGGGAGCTGCGGAAAAATACAGGAGTGACACTTGACCCAAGCCTGGGAGAATACAGTTGACATCTAAGCTGACACCTGAAGAATGAGCTGGAGAGACAATGGAGCCCCTTCACCCCCTCTGTGAAGTGGTCTGGTTCTACAGGGCCACTTTCTGGGACACCTGACTTCTAAGAAAACCAAAAGATAAAGCTTGGTTGGGCCAAATACTGGGGACCTTGTTTGGTCTACCATTACTAGACAAAGAGGAATTCTGTACAAGTAAACTTGTCCAGAAAATTAAAGTCCACCTTTCTCCCTACCAGCACCTTAATTGTTTTTAATGAAAATATTTCATTCTTAACTTTTTCTTGCTGACTCAGAATCACTGCCATGATTATATTTCAACTACAGTTGGGTATTCTAGACTCCTGCATTCCCAAGTAGTGATTATCCTTATTGTCAGGGGAAGTTTTCATTCTAACTGAATCAGAACTAAAATGCAAATGGGCAAGACGCAAGTTGTGAATATTACTGGAAAAGAAGTTAACTAGAATTTTTTCCTTAGAATTTTTAAAATTCAAAATGAAATCTTTACAACAAATGGTACTGAAACAATGATGTCAACATGCACAAGAATGAAGATGAACCCTTACCTCACACTATATACAAAATGAAATGGCCTTGATTTCCCTGGGGTTCATGGGCTGTTTGATTATATTGATGAATTTCTGCTTTCAAAAGAGAGGGCTATACGGGATGTCTATCCCCTGGAATAAAATTACCATCTCTCTGGCCCTGGTTACAGATACAGCAGCATTTGGATGATAACGCAATGTGACACATTTTTTCCAGTCTTCCCAACCCAAACTCTTTCCTAAGAGCACTCTCCCATGTGGCTTTGCCTTGGTCATAGACAAGATGTGGCCACCTTTCCTTCTGCATTTCCTCCTTCATTTCAAGGATAAGGACGACCTTCAACCACAGGATCAGATGTACCCCTTGTACAATTCCAGCAAAATGACCAGAGTGACCCAATTACGTCATCTCAGATGAAAAACAGGAATTTGGGCCAAAGCTCTAACAGGGCCTGAATGATGTCACCCTGCCACTAGAGTTTGGGACCTGAAATGGTATGTCTTCATGACTGCGGAAGTTACGGATATGAGAATTTTGTTTAATTTTCTGTTCCCTGAAGAGTGTTGGGAGCATGTCGGAGAGGAGAAGAGGAAGGCAGAACATTTAGGGGGTTATTTGTGGCAGACAACGTGCCTAGTTGAGTTGGAATTTCAGGCCTGATATCCACATTCTGTCAGGAAGTTTTCAAAGCTGGTTAGAGAAACTAGTTTACTTCCAGGATGAGTTTTGAGTTTTGTTTTTGAGTTTTTGATTTCACCTTCCATGGCTGTACCCTGTAATCCCAGTAAAGAAAAAGAAACATAATGGATTTTAGGGACATTGCAAGGATTTGCATTCCCTGCTCCTGCCTGTCCATCCTTCCCTGGAGAGAGTCATGTGGTAAAAATCTATTATTCATGGATTGATTTTCCAGGCTATTCAGAGTGTAATTTCTTCTTATCTTTTTGCTGCATGTTCTTCGTTCTTCGGTTACAGAGAAGAAAAACAGTAGTTGAAATTCACACAGGTCTGCATTTTACTTCTTAACTTTGGTAAGAGGTAAGTGGGAAGGTGAAAGAGACAGAGCAATAAACCAGGTGGGTTGCTGATGAACTCAACAGATTGGTGCCCTGAGCTATTCTGGGGTCCCAATGAAAACAGGCTATAAAGATGAATCAAGAAATGAAATGAGAGACAGAACATTGCATTTAGAGGAGATAGAGCACTAGGAGGGAGGGATGAGGCAATGAAGATCAAGGATGACCTATGGTGAAACCTCTCAGCCAGTAGGTAACTTCACATGAACCAGAAGCATATGGCCTTTCTGTATGGATTCCAATTCCATTGTGTCCAGACCCAGGGTAGGCTGCATCAAGATACCCTACACTAATCTGTATTGATATTTTAAACTAAAGCTACTTAAGAATCTGCCTGTACAAGAAGAAACCCTGACCCCTCTGTCCCCCTCAAAGCAGCGATAAATCTCCCATGTGATAGATGCCCTCAATGCTCCTGAGGGCCGAGAGAGAATCTAATCACAGAGTGAAAAGAATCCAGAGTCCAAAGCTTATATAAACAAACGTTGAACTGCCTTTACTAATTTACTACCCAAGCCCAATCCTTGCTTATATTCCTTTCTAATAAGCACCAGCTTTCTTTGTCCTGTCCCCTTCTCACAAATTCATCGTTTCTTTGTCTAAAAAGTATAAAAAGGTGACTGAGTCATTCTTTTCTTTGAGCCTCATTTTATGATCTGAGCAGCATCATATGATTCTCCCATGCACACATATTAAACTGATTTTTCTCCTGTGAATGCAGTCTTGTGTCAATTTTATTGTTTCTTCCTAGTCCAACCACAAGAACTATAGCAGGGTACCCTCCTCCCAACAATTGCAACTGGTTGGATACACCTTTCCTAGTTGAAACAGCCATTAGTCAAGCAACTTCGAATATAACTACCATTTGATAAAGAACACTACAGTGTTTTCTGCAGAATAAACAATTCCTTAGAACATATAGTACAGACAGACTAAGTTATGCTCAGCAGCCCATTTAGAGAAGCACTGAGCACTGGCCAGGTGTATTAACTTCAGAGGCACAATCCTTCTTCCAGGTACAGGAAGAAATCTCGAATCACGGTTTCTTCCTCAGTCTTTGGACAGTGTCTAGGGCAGAAGCTCTGTATCAGAGGGGGGACATTCTGGCAAGTTGGGAAAGAGCATTGAGGTCCACCTGGACTACCTGTGTCACCCACCCGCAAATCCACCTGAAGCCATAATCCGCTTAACCTTGAGGGAGAGCATGGAGGTCGTCACAGGAGGGTCTGACAGTCACCAGATCCCTGGCAGAGAGGGACTCTTGTATTTTGTGCCCCTTCCTTCACATACAAAGATATTTTGCATGCAAAATAAATACACTTGAGAAGGGGTTGGCAAATTATGGAACCTGGGCCAAATCAAGCTCACCACCAGGACTTGCATTGCCTATGAGTTAAGAATGGTGTTTACATTTTCAAAGGGTTGAAAAGAAATGAGAGAATCATAATATGTGAAAATTATACAAAATTCAAATTTCAGTTTCTATTAATAAAGTTGTACTTAAACAGCCACACTCATTCACTTCCATATCATCTGTGGCTGATCAGGCTATCACAGCAGCGCTAAGTAGATGAGATAGAGACTGTCTGGCCCACAGAGCCTAACGCATTTACCTTCTGTTTCTCTTTTTTAAAAAAAATATGTTTTTATTGATCTTTAGAGAGAGGAGGTGAGAGAGATAGAGAGATAAAAACATCAATGAGAGAGAAACATCATTGACCAGCTGCCTCCTGCACACCCTCTACTGGGGATCAAGCTCACAATCTGGGCAGGAATCAAACCAGTGACTTCTTGATGTATGGGTTGATGCTCAACCAACTGAGCCAAACCAGCCAGCTACCCTCTGTTTCTTTACAGAAAAAGTTTCCAACCCTGCTCTTGAGTCCTGAATGATCCCACTAGCCTCACTTTAGAATGACTTTGATGGGGAGAATTTGTTTCCTGCTCAACATTAGTATTTCCACACTTTCTAGCCTTGAGACAAAGTCCCAGTGGCCAAGGCCACTAAAAACAGAGTCCTTGTCACCCTGGATTTAAAGAGAAGCCATGGAGAAAAGCCACTTACGTAGGATCCATAATCCACAGCCAGAGTCTGCAGGGCCCAGGGGAGACCGAGGCCGATGAGGATGTCAAACACGTTGCTCCCGATGGAGTTGGACACGGCCATGTCTCCCATGCCTGCAGGGACAAGAGGTCACTGCAGTGAGGGAAGTGATCTCAGGGGAGTGTCCACAAGGGACTCCCCCAAACCTTCGGTCTGACAGCCAGAGACCTAGCTGGCAGGTCTGCAAGCTCACATATTTGGTTCTCTCCCAGGCCGTCACTATGGAACAGTGATTTTAAACCTTTTCATCTCATGGCACACACAAACTAATTACTACAATTCTGCAGCACACATAAAAAATGTGTTTTTTATAGATCTGACAAAAAAAATAAGTATAATTTTGATTCATTCACACTGGATGTCTATTGTTGAGTTGTCATGTTTTTTATTTGACAATCTAAGGGAAAAGAGGTCAGTACCCTTGACAAAATAGTCAGGTACTGCATGTTTTAAAAGTTCTTGTGGCATCCAGGTTGAAAATCACTGCTATAGAATGATGCTGACTGTAAAATACATAGTCATTGGAATAGAATACGTATTTTCAAGAGAATAGAATAAAATACACATTCTTCAAACTGTTGACCCTTACTTCCAACATGATCACTGGTCAGATGTGCTTCAAAAATCCAAATATGATTTAATAAATTAGAATACATCCTTATAAAAAGGAATAAGCATAACAGTTGTATAAATGGGCTCATGATCTCACCAACCCATACATTTCAGTAAAACCCACCTGTTTTACACTGTATTCAATTCTTCTAAACCACTGAGCAATATTAAGAAAAATAATGTAACCAGTAGACTTTTGTGAGGACTTGTAGAGGGCACTGTGTTCAGTGTCATAGCTACACATTTTGTTGAAAACAAAGGTCCTCTAGCACAAATCAGGCGTATAAGTTAGAGGGGTGCTGGGGAGGGGCATGGCCATCTGGGGCAACCATCTGGGAAGGTTAACTGTGACCTTGGTTTTGAAGGAGGGGAGGGTCTGTCACACACTGAAGAGTGACCTATGGCAACTGCTACCTTGAGGGTTACTGCAGCTGAGTAAACCTTAGGCTACGGAGTCTGTCCTCTCTAAGCCTCAGTTTCCTTATCCATAAAATGGGTGTATGATTGTCCCTAACTCATAGAATTCTTTAAGTTATATAAGATAATGTGCCTAAATTGCTTTACTCAGTGTGAGGCACTTAGCAAAGGTTAGCTATCAATATATTTATTACTATTTTTAATAATTAAAAATGGTAATATGACCTCCAGAAAGGGGGACTGGTGTTACCTAGAAAACTTCTCTGCCCTTCTCAAGGGTGGACCTTCTGGCTTGTTTCTCTGTTCTGATGCCAAGAAACCTTTTGACCAACATGGCACTGAAGTCCCCCATCACCCCTTCCAAGCTGGGCTTTGAAGCCCTGGTAATTGCCATGTGGACACCCCCCCCACACACACACACACCCTTGTTGAGAGGTCTTCCTTCCTCCTCTACCCCAGCCCACTGGTGGCCCCACCTTGTCTGGCCACGATGAGGCTGGCCATGCAGTCAGGCACACTGGTCCCGGCTGCCAGGAAGGTGATCCCCATGATGACGTCAGGAATCCCCAGTGTGTAACCGATGATTGTGACCTGGAAGAAGCAGGAAGAGGTGGTGAGCTGAAGGCTGCCTCCAGCCCTCCCTGCCCGTGAATCCTTTGACCGAGAAACAGAAAAGGCGGTCTCTTCAGGGGGCAGCTTAGTATGAAGACAGAGGGGAAGAAGGTCTCGGGGAGCAGGCTGGGGCTGCAGGTCAGGGGACCAGGGTGCAGTTATGGAGCTCATGTTTTCCAGTCAGAGATTGGCCTTTTTCACGTGTTCCTTTCAGCTGAGACAGATGGCCTGAGAGAGGAAAAATAGTGTCTGGGAGGAAAAGGCAATATTGGGATAGAATATTTACACTCAGGGTGGTCCTGGGAAACTCAGAATTCATGGCTGCCAAGTTGGGCTGGGAATTCGAGCTGCATGATGGGAATCCACACCTCCCATCTTGTAGGAAAAGCCATAGCTGCTGATTCCTTTCCTTTTTCCCTGGAAGTTTGCTTAGCATCACCTTTGCCAACACTGCCCTTCGCACCATATCATTATGTTTACTGAGTACTCAGGCACTGTGCTAAGTGATGTTTGTGTGCTTTAACTGATTTAATTCTCACAACAGTCCTATGGAGTGGTGCTATCGTTATCTCTATTCCTTAGATACAGAAACTGAGGCACACGTATAAGTGGCAGAGGCGGGCATTCCCACCCTGGCAGGTAGGCTCCTTTGCACAGATAGCACCTCTGTCTACATAGGAGGGGTTCAGCCTGAGTCAGTGCCTCCATTATGCAAATGAGCCCATTCTGGCCCCTGAATTCCAGATGGTAAGACAGAGGAAGGCAGGTGGTGAGACATCATGGTGGGGGCGGTGAGAAGTGGCAGGAGAGGTGGGTGGGCAAGAGACAAAATTCCTATATGTTGGCCTAAGGAGAGGATAACTTGCAAGAACTGAGAGGAATTGGTCAGGATGCCACTTGACCTCACTTTCTACAAAGTTACAAGAAATGCAAATCATGTACAGTGGGGCCTTGACTTATGAGTGTCCCGACTAACGAGTTTTTTGAGATACCAGCTGTCTCTCGGCCAATATTTTGCAGTGAGTTGATAGAATAATTTGAGTTAACGAGCTCCTTAACGAGCTCGGTCTTGGAACGAATTAAACTCGTACGTCAAGGTCCCCACTGTACTGTAAATAGCACATTCTCACAGTTCCTCCCGGCCAGTGACTGAAGGAGACACTTATGAATGCATCCTGACTTCCTCCAAAGGCCACAGGTGCTCCTTTGCAGTCCAAAGGTTTGTGGGAAGTTAGTTACATTGAGATGCCTGGCTGCCCCCCTTTTAAACTGGAGAATGCACCTCATTTCTGTTTAGTGCTGAACTGAACTTGGGGTGGCCTTGGGGGTTTCTGTCTTCCTCTCTCCAAGGAGGAAAGTGGGATGCAGAAACACACAGCATGTCTGTTGTTCTGAGGAGGCTTTGGAGATATGGCACTACAAGCATCCTGGCCAAACCTCGTTTTCCTTTCTAATAGCCCTCAGCCAGGTCTCTATGGGAATCGGGTTTGTCTCGCTGGGGCTTGGCCTGCCCTCTGGTGTTATTAGGATGCTTGTGGCTGAGTCTGGAGTCTTGGGGAACTGATTCCCCAGATGGCTGGGCCAAGTCTCCTGCTTCCTGTTTTCTCCCTATCCCCCACCATTTCCCAGGACTTCTTAGAGCTGCATCTCCACCAGAGCAGGAGTCCGACGGAGGGAGGGTAAACCTCAGGTCAGTGGGTGGGTTTGCCTGTAGGTGGACTTGGGAGAAAACCACTGAGCACCTGGAGGACAGGGACACCAACACCTGTCCCCAAACCCGGAACAGAGACGGCACCCAGGGAATATGTCAAATAACAATGTTAATGAGGACAGGAGAAGGGAGAAACCTGTGGCTATAAGATTTAGGTTGAAAAAAAAATTACCTGTTTCTCCATGATGTTGGAGGCAAGGGATAGTTATAATTTAATTGTGCCAAAGTTCACGAATTTGTTATTACCTCCAAAATAATCCTTCCAGAACATTTTATTAGCTCTTGAGTAACCTCCCCTCCCCCATGGATGTTGGGGATGATGGAATGTGAGTGGAAGTCACAGCCAAGGCCCTAGGAGACACCATGTGTTTCCACTTGCCCTCATGCATTCCAGTGATCCACCATGAGAAGAGTGTTCCCCAGGCAGCCACTGGTCCAGGAAAATGGGCCAACACATGGATTAGACATGAACCCCACCTGCTGCTTGAATCAATGGAACCATGCTGTGTCTTGAAGCAGAGCTGCTCCATCAGTGCCTGCGGAAATGAGCTCAACCACAGTCACCCTGAAGATGTGAGCAAGAGGACAAATGCTTGTGATTCTAAACCACTGTTTCAGGGTGTTTTGTTACGCAGCTTATTGCTGCAACAGCTGACTGTTATAGTTTCTGGGCTGAAACCCCAACCCGTATTCCCCTCTGGTTGAGTGTATTTCTCTCTCTACAGAGGTCGCGTGCTGCCGTGGGGTCCTCGATGCACTCACCATCCACACCATTATGTAGGAGAAGGCTGCGATCCACAGAGTGGAGGAAGCAAATGTCACCATAAACCACTTCTCCCAGCGGGGCTTGTTGCAGTTGGGTACAGTGAAGTATAAGACAAAACTCAGTGGCCAGGTGAACACCCATTTCACCGTCTCCAGTTTGCCAGCTGGGAAAATAAAAAAAAGACAAAACACACACACACACACAAATCAGTCAGCTTCATTTCTCTGCTTCACCAGCTCTCCGTACTGCATTCCCCAGGCACTTCCATCTTAACTGATGGCCTGTGAAAGAAACCTTACTATGTTGCTCTTTCCCTACAAGACACAAATGGCTTTTCATCACCAACAAAACCTGACGGACAAAACCGAGCAGAGTACCAACCTTCTCTGCGGCCCACCTGCTAGGTAGGCCTCCACAGTGAAAGGATGAGTCACTTCCGAATCATACAAGGCTGGGGGGATAGCTTGGCAAATGGGGCCAGGAGCAAAAGAACGAGGAAGATTTGCAGGACACAAATGGGTGAGGGAAGTGTGTGGGGGTAGAGGTTTGGGGGGCGGGGTGTTGCTAGGAAAACCACCAGTTGGCCTCTGCTGTCTATTCTCCCCATGGATAGGGTAGGTCACCATAGCTTTCCAGATTGTAAGGCGTCAGTGGGCATAGCGCCATCTACTGGAATCTCTCAGCATCGTCTGTCAATGCACTGAAATTTTGAAAGATGATTTGAAAGCTCTCAAGGTTGTCAAAACAGGGCATTGAGTGTTTGTATCCTAAACTGATGTGGACTTACAAATGAATCATTGTTTTCTATTTCTCTACCTGTTGCCATGAATAAGATGGCGGATTTGTCAGTGATGACCTGATCCTCCCATCTCTGTGCTGCCTGAGGACTATGACTCAGAGACACCCATACATGCTTATTTTGGTCACTATATGATCATCATTTCCTTGTTGCCTTAGATTTGAAAAACATATTAGTTCTCGTTTAGCCTTTATAACCTTACTGCTTCAGTGCTAACTCACCTCCGGAAAGAACTACACACATAGACATATGTACTCCCTTCTTCAATCGCAATCTCCTCTTCCGGAAAGCTCCCTGTGCCCCCTCCCAGTCATCCTCCCACCGGCGACCACCATAGATTAATCTTTCCTGTTCTTCAACTTCAAATAAATAAAATCATATGTTTTTTTGTCTACCTTCTTTCATTCAGCATGTGTTTTTTGTGTGTGATTCATTCATGTGTAACTGATTCATTCCATTTAATTGCTGTGCAGTGTTCCACCCTGTGAATACACCGCAGCTTGTTTATCTATTCTCCTGTGGATGGGAATTTGGGTTGTTGCCAGTTTTTAGGTATTACAACGAGAGTGGCTATGAGCATTCTTGTACAAGTCTTTTTGAGGCATGTTTTCATTTCTTTCGGGCAAAGACCCAGGAGTAGAATTGCTGAGTCACAGGGTGGGTGTTTACTTAACTTTATAAAAAATTACCAAACAGTTTTCTAAAAATGATTGTACCATTTTCTATACCCACCAGACATAAGAAGGTATTTTTAAATTACATTTTGAACAGGGACTAATGAAAGGTTTAACAAAATTTATTTCATAATTTCATACCAGTATCCAGCACTTATTTCATTATATTACTTGCCAGTCTCCAAATATTTTCTTAAAACCACAGAACAAAGTTACACAACATACTTTGGGCTCCCCGGTCTCCCTTGGATGGCAAGGTCGTCACTAAGGGAAGAGTGGGGCTCCGGTGCCCACTTTGCCTGAATCAAGTGTTTCAGTTACTTACATCCCCTAAGTCTCAGTTTCCTCATCTGTAAAATGTGGACAGAGCAACACTGAACTCACAGAGTAGCTGGAAGAATTACATGGGATATCAGGATGGGGCTGGGACAACGTAAGTTGGCAGGAGTCAAAATCCTCAGAATCATTCTTGACTCTGCCCATTCTCCCATCCCCACACCAACCCTAGCAACCTGCCCAGGGCACCCTCAGTCTGCCTGCAGCTCACGATTCCCACGGCCTTCCCCTGGGCAGGCAGGCCCTCCATCCATGACCTGGCTGAAGACCCGAGTTCCTAAGGGACTCACTGCTCCTACACTTGCTCTACATCTGTCTGCTCACCATCAGTAGCAGAGGAGAGTCTCAAAAAGTAAACTGTTCTAGAACCTTCTACTTGCTTCTACTGCCCTCAGAGAAAAATGATATCTCCCCACTATGGCTGGCAAGGTCCTAAATGATTTGGCTCCCATTTACCACTCTCCCTACTTACACAGCCCCCTGCCCCAGCTCTCTGTCCTCAGACACACCAAGTTTCTTTCTACCTTCGGGCCTTTGCACCTGCAGTTCCCTGTCAGGTGGTCCACCGCACAGCTCCAATGTTCCCGGACCCCGCCGATCACCAATCTAAATAAGACCCTCACTACTCCACTTCCTTCCCATCACCTTCATTCATTTGCTTCATAGAAAATTATTTCTGTCTGAAAGTATCAGGTTTATTTGTTTCCTCATTTGTTTTCAGTTGCCCCAAACTAGAATATAAACTCTATAAGAATGAGTGTTTTCTCAAGCCTGCTCAGTACTGTACTTTAAATGCCATGAACAGGGCATGGCATATATCACATGATCAATATGTATATTGATAATATTGACAGTAATAAAATTGCTATGAACAATATAAGCAGACAGACCAAAGAATAGTATTTGTGTGTGTGTGTGTGTGTGTGTGTGTGTGTGTGTGTGTCTATGTGTGTTTTAAAGGTATCCCACTCACAGGTGCAGAATAGAGCAAAGAGAACAGATTAAGAAAGGGGGCATCTTTTCCGATTAGCAGCATCTTGCTAGATTTCAGGGTTGGAGATGGCAAAGTGAATGAGGAGAACATTGAGACTGTTTGGCTGGATTACAAAGCAAGAGGACTGCCTGAGGATTTGTTTTCTGAGGGGTTTTCAAATGCTGCAGAATCCAGATTATGGCCAGATTTTTGGATCCCAAATGCATCCTGGAAGTCTGCACGTCCCTAAACCCTGCAATGTGGTAGTGACTTATCAGTCTGGGGGCCTTGGCATCCCCTACTGGCCGTGCAGTCTCCCAGATGCCCTCCCAGGGAGAGAGAGTTTAATATACACACCCAATCCAAGTTACAAAGAAACACATGAATGAGTCGAGAAATGACTTCAATTTGGCTATTTGTCATTCTTTAGAAAATAAAAACGATAAGAAAAATGAAGTCAGGACTTAGGACTGCAAGGGCATAGCAATGACATTAGGCAAAGCTAGCAGCAATGTAAGCTAGCAGCAATATAAGCTAACAGCAATGAGTTTGAGTTTGGTCTCTCGGCTGAAAAAAATGTTGACTTCACACTGGGAAGACATTATATCTTGAAAACTGTTTTCACTGTCATCCAAAATGCTATAGATGCTTTCTTTGAGTTACAGGTCCATTGTAAGAACAACAAATTTAAAGCAGAAATTCAAGGTATACCTTTAAATGCAATATAACAAATATAACTTCTTGAATAAATCAAGCGATGCAGAAATGTGTGTTTTCAATGGTTTTGAGGAGCAGGAGTAGTCCACCCTGCCCCTCTGGCCAGGCACGCCCAGGTCCTGCAGATACAGCAGCAGTTGAATGAAACAAAATTCCCTGCACACAAACCTGATGTACCAGTGGGTACGTGATTTCTCGAATATCGGCCAGCAAATGGGAGATGGAGCAGGGGCTCTGAACATCCCCAGTCAGTATCGCTGGCTCTAAAAAGCAAATGACTTCTTCCCAAGTTATAGTTCTTATTAAGCTTTTTTGGACACTTAATTCTATTGGATGGAGAAAAAGTCATTCATTGCTCAGTATTTTAGACCTAAAGTTAAATATATAAATTTGTTCTAATCATATAGGCAACTAAAAGGTACATTGTTTTAAAATTAAAAAGCAGAGAAAATAAAAAATAATCCCAACTACAAAAACATACTTATATTTTGGTGTATTTCTTTTCATTTTTTAAAATGAAGGTGTGTATATCTACATGTACATGTAAATGTTTCTGTTTTTCTCAGTCAATAGTAAGGCTTTCTTCACACAAGAGATAAGAATATATGTATAATTTATATGTATGTATACATATATAGATATACTATGCATAGGTGTCCATTATATGTATTTAATCAATACATGTATACATAAAAACTCAGGTATGTTAATGTGTGTATACATTATGTAACATACAATACCTTAAAGATGTGTATATACATGTATATTAACACACAATATATTAAATTTGTACAGTACACATACAAACATGTTATATGCATAGATTAATTATATCGATCATACATGTGCATAAATATATGTACATGCACCTATATTCATGTATACACATATAAACAAACGTGTCATATCTATCCCTATATTTATAGACTCCCACATAATTACTTATTTGTTGATTATACCCACTCAAGTCCTGGCGAGAAGAAAGCCCTGCAGCTGGGTAACTGGAACAGGGGTAGCCTGGCCGTCACAGGATCAAGAGAAGAAAAATGTGTTCATTGTGTGGACGGACCTTTCTCAGGACAAGGGACCTTAGCCTGAGAGGAACCCCCAGACTGTCCTTCTGGCTCCTCGAGTGCCCTCTGCTGGCCTGAGGCCCCCTCAGGCTGCCCTGAGCTGCGAGGAGGACTGCCTCAGGGAGGGCCTGGCTGGACACAGCCTCTGAGCCTCAAATGGAAGTTCCTGGCTCCAGGAATGAGATATCTCAGCAGCTGGTGGAGGAGCACTGAGGCTCGTAGTTGGACAAGCCATTCTCCATTTCAGAGGCGGAACCCGGTGCAGAATCAGGCTCCCCTAAGTCTCAGAAGGACTGTGAAGTCACCGAAGTGTCTCCAGGCCTCCAGCCTCTCCCTCTCCAGGCGTGGCCTGTGGACCAACAGCACTGGCATCACCTGAGGGCTCATTAGAAATGAAGACTCTGAGGCCCCGCCCTTCTGAGTCAACCTGCGTTTTGTCAAGGAAGCCCTGGTGAGAAGGGCCGGTGTACAGGAACTTGGGACCTGCTCGCTCGGGGCCTGGGATGAAGCAGGGCCTTGGGACAAAGCAGAGACCCCCGGGTATCAGGCCCACACAGAGCACCGTTTCTCCTCTGGGGCCTCTGGGGTGGTGCTTGTGAAAGATGCAGGGGCCTGAGGTGTGTCTGAGCCCATGCCTGCAGCCAGGTCTCCTGTCACATGAGGAAGAAGGAACACAGCTGGAGGCCCTGGAGCCCCTTCACCTCCTTGGTTTCGGAGATGAGGAGACACCTCACACCACAGTTAGGCCTGGCACTTACCTCGTCCAGGTGGGAAATGTGGACACATGATCTAAAAGGGCCCTTAATCCCACTAAGTAATGAAGTCACGTGTGGGAGCTGGACACCATGTCTGGTCTCACACACGTGTCTTTAGGTGTCTGCCTGGAGGGATGTACTTGGGGCTTCTGGGAGGCCAACACAGCCCCTGGCCCACTGCTTCCTCACTCAGTGAACGACTTTAGCAAAATTAGCATTTCTGGAGCTTGGTTAGGAGCTGCCAATGGCAGACTCTGAAACAAGGGCTGGGAGGTAGGATTCCAGATGGGCAGCCTCAGTTCTGGGCCCCGACTCAGGAACTTACATGCAGGGTGCTTGGCTATACGGCAGAGCTGAGCTTGGTCACAGGAACCCTCCCCAGAAGAAGGGGCAGCCAGGGAGATTAGAAAGGTGACAAGGACCCATCACACTGTTGCTGGTTTGCAGATGGAAGGGTCACGTGACCAGGAATATGGTGGCCTCTGGAGCAGTGAGCCTCTGCAAACCCAGCCAGGCCCTGCCAGCCTTCTGACCTACAGAACAGAGAGCTATGCAACAGCTGTTGCTTTTCGTGGCTAAACTTGTGATAACCTGCTGTGTGTGCAGCAACAGAGAAGGCACACAGGAGTTTATAAGGGATGAATGGAGTGTCTGGTCCTTTAACATGTTAAGTGCCCAGCTTGTTTTGTCTTCCCGACAGAAAGTATTGCGTCAGTCACCAGTGCCTGACTGGGCACTTAACGTGTTAATCCTTAAAATGCCTTTGTCCTGGCTGATAGGAAAGAAGGTTGCCAAGAAATACAGTGACAGGTGGCAAAATGGATCAAGACACAGTCTATTTTTTTTTCTATCAAGATTACCTACTGCCCAGCCAGTGTGGCTCCATGGTTGAGCATCACCTATGAACCAGGAGGTACGGTTCGATTTCCGATCAGGGCACATGCCCAGGTTGTGGGGCTGATCCCCAGTGGGAGATGTGCAGGAGGCAGCCAATCAACAATTCTCTCTTATCATTGATGTTTCTCTCTCTCTCTCTCTCTCTCTCTCTCTCTCTCTCTCTCTCTCCCCCTTCCTCTCTGAAATCAATAAAAAAATATATATTTAAAAAAAATAAAAAAGATTACCTACTGACAAATGGTGATTTAACTCTGGCTGGGCAGTTCAGGGGGTGGGGCATAGGAATCGGGGTGACGTTTTCTAGTTAGTTTTGGTAAGCACTTGACCAGGTTGAGCTCTCAGGAGCCCCGAGGGGGCCCAGGAGCAGTTCGAGCCCGTTTTACTTACTGTCTCCTGAACACAGAAAGGAGCACACAGAGACCTGGCTTCTGGCCCTGAAACCCGGCTCTGAGGCTCCGCCCCCATGTCCCACCACGGAAAGGCCTTTCAGGTGGACCAAGCAATCCTTCCGCAGAGTTTAAAGTCCTCCTAGAGATTCAATCCTCCAGGAGAAGACACACACGCTAATTAAGCCCCACCCATTTGACAGTGAAAGTGAGTCCGACCCGTGCACACTTTCCTGAAATAATCGGAAGCTTCTGGCAAGTCTAGAAAATGGGCAGAATTCTTTGTGTTAGGTCCTCCTGTCCCACTAATGGGTGGGGTGGGTGAGGACAAGGTCACTGGGAAGGACAAGTCTTCATTGGAGGCAGCAGTCAGGGGAGAAGGACACCACCCTGTCTTGCTCCTCCCCTAGGTACCAGAGGGGTGTCCTCAGCCAGCCCACTGGGTGAGGTTTAACTGGGCCAGGATGCTCTGTGCCCAGGTGTGCATCTCCTGTGGTGCCTGCCCTGGGAGCAGGAGGTGCTGGGAGAGGAAGCACCTAAATGGGGTCAGGGGCAGCAGTGAGAAGAAAAACAAAGGCGAACCGGGAGGGCTGCACATGTACCCAGGGCTGGCCTTGGCAGGACAACCCCCTGCTAACCCCTGCCAACCGTAACGGGATGGGTGAAGGTGGGTGGAGTGCCACTTCTCGTGAGCCCAAGCTGCTCTGCTGACACGCCTGGGGCATGTGCTCTCCTCCTTAGCACCAAAAGGGCCTCAGAGTAGCTAAGAGAGGGACTGCCTCTGCAATTATAAACTTGGCCAAAGACCCTACATTGCAACCAATGAGCATGTGTTGCCGTCCTGCTCATCTCTGGACCCTCACAACAGTCTTGCCTGCTGCAGATGTTAATATAAACATTTCTATGCTCATACAGAGATATTTATTTGAAATGAGGGGCAGGAAGATAATCAAAGTGGAGGGCATCTACTCAGTGGCCTTAAAAGAGCCCCCAACCACAGCCCAGACATAGGACCTCTTACAGGGAGGGTCGAATGGTGTGTACGGTCCTTCGTCATCCTCCTCATCCTCCTCTTCCTCTTCGTCATTCTCATTGTTCTCGTTGTCCTCGTTCTCATTCTCTGTCTCATTGCCAGCCTCGGCAACAACGTCATCCCTCCGAGTCCCATTCACGCCCCTGTCTGGGGCGCTGCTGGGCCCTGTCCCATTCTCCACGGTGTGTTTAATGGGGATTTTGATGGCCACTTCGGATTCTCCATTGGTGTAAGCCCTGCTGTTTATCAGTCTTTGTCTCTAGAAAGAGAAAGGCACATTCTTACCACGGGAAGATGGACTGTACATCCCTATACCCAGAACAGCAGCTATTGGGATTTCTTCCAGGCAGCTGACAAGGAGATGCTTTCAGAACACTGCAGACAAGTCTCAAGGGATTCCTCAAAGTAATAACCAACTCAGAAAACCTCCTCTGGGAAGAAGGATTAACCTTCATTCCAACTGGAATTTGTAAAGCACTTTAGAGGAAAATTCGCATTGCTCAGATGTGTACTTCTTTTCTATCAGGGTTCTTGATTCTCTGTGCACTGTGATGTTAACTTTCTTCTCCAAATTTTAGGAAAGCCACACAAATGTGTTTGTACTAGTGTACCAATAAGGCTGCTGTTCCAGAGAAAGGAATACATAGGAAAATTCAGGTCAGAGTCTCAGCATTATTTTAAAGCAATTTTGGTATGAAACTACTTCTGTGCAAGTTCATTCACACGAGAGAGCTCCATTCAACTGGAAGATGTAAAGAAAAAGATACATAGAAAAGGATCAGAGAGTTTTTTTCTGTATAACTGGGAGCCGGACCATGTCTGTCAACATGTGGAGGGAGGAGTAAGGACCAGGATGCACAGCTGGCCCAGCGAGCAATGATGTTTCAAAATGGCTGAGGGATATTATTGTGTTGAATGTTAAATTAGGTGCTGCTACTTTCAGACCCAGAAACTTTCTCTCCTTCCTAGTTTCCCATCCCTGTCCAGCGGCAAATGGCTTGTGCTTTCCCAGATACCTCATTGATCAACATGCGGCTGGCCATGGAGAGTCTGGTCTTGGGGGGAAAGTGGCTGGTGATCATGATTCGAAGTCCAGCCTCAGAGAAAGACAGCTGGTGTGGGTAGGCTGACAGCAACTCATCCACCATGATCACTGACGCTTTGCGGTGGAAATTGGCTAGGGAGATTAAAAACACAAAATAAAAATACTGAGACTAGGAGCTGGAAACAGATATTCAGTCAGTCTTCCTTTCCTTTCTCTTCTTTCTTCCCTCTTATGCTCCCAGTTGTCTGTCTGTCTCCCTCCCTCCCTCCCTCCCTCTCTCCCTCCCTTCTTATCTGCCTATCCATCTATCCACCCATCCAGGGAGGGCTGTAGTAAGCAAAATTTGGGGAAGAACCAAAGTCTGCTTTTTGGGGCTCATTGATAGCTCTTTTGAAATGATGAAACAATTTAAGCATCATTCACTGACAGAAAAAATGAGTGATAATAAATAAGAATTCCTTCTTGTCCTCAAAGAAACGCGCCCCCCCCCCCCCCCTCGCCACCCAATAACTCAGATCTGGGGCATAACAAAGACTCCTATAATCTTTAGTAAGCTTTTATGCCCTTCAGATGCCAACATGTTCATACTGAGAGGTTAAAAGCTGCAGACTTGACTTTAGTGTTAAGTGGAGGACACGGTGGAGAAATGGACACACTGCTGCCGCCCAGCCTATGAGCAGGGCTGACAGGTGGGCGAGTGGCCACGTTACAGAGGCCCAAGGCCCAAAGGAGATGTCAGGCAAATCTTATGTAATGATTTGCTGACTGGCTGGAAACAAATTTCACCAAGGCCCCTCTCTAGGAATGTGCAACACGAGCACATAGCTCACGGGTACCTAGCCACGGGCCCTCTCAGGGCTCACTCCTGTTTCCAAGCCACTAAACCATGAAATGATCGCTGGAAACACTAAATAATATTAGGTAGCACTCTCTGCCTCCCTAAGAGTATTCCTTTTATGGTTATAAACTACCCAGAGAGAAAAAAGTAAATGATATCCTCATGTGGGATGGCACTGAATAATCCTAAGTCTTTAGTTAAACATGCACATAATTAGGAAAGTCTACCAACTGGTTGATTTTAAAATTCTCATAATTACCAACAGATTCCAAAGTCAGGCATACATTTGAAAAGAACCTATAGATTTTCTAGTTTCTTTTTTGTTTTTTTCCTGCAAAGCAACCATATGGGATCAAGAAGAAATAAGCTCATGTATTTCAAGGGGAAAGTTAAAAAAATTAAATAAAAAATGAAGCATATTCTAGGCAAAAGTAATTGGTAATTTTTGTGTTCCTCTAAGAGTGATGGCGAACCTTTTGAGCTCAGCGTGTCAGCATTTTGAAAAACCCTAACTTAACCCTGGTGCCGTGTCACATATAGAAATTTTTTGATATTTGCAATCATAGTAAAACAAAGATTTATATTGTTGATATTTATTTTATATATTTAAATGCCATTTAGCAAAGAAAAATCAACCAAAAAAATGAGTTCGCGTGTCACCTCTGACATGTGTGTCATAGGTTCGCCATCACTGCTCTAAGAAATAACATTATTGGAGAGCATTATATTATTTGTCTAAGTATATAAACTGATTAACAAGAATCTATTAAATATAAAAATTACTTTAAAAAAAAAGGTCATTAACTATATCATGCTGCAGCTTGGAAACTGAGGTAATGCAGCCTGGAAGTGAATTTGGATATAAAAATGTACTAATGACAACTATCATTAACGAAGTATTTTACATACTTTATCTCCTTTACTCATTACAAAAATTATCCCCATTCTGCAGAAGAGAAAATTGAGGCTCAGAGTGATTAAGTGACTTGCTTCATGGTCACACAGCCAAAATGTGATAGAATCAATAGCTCGAAACCCATGGTCTTCTCTCCCTTACTATCCTGTCCTAATCACCTTGTATCACTCCCAGCAAATGTTTTGCCCAAGAACTTGCATGGGGCTTTCGGAGTCAGCGCATCACCAGGTATGAGCCTGCCCCAGGCTGTGGCCAAAGGGAGGGAGGGAGGACAGGAGCCTGCTCTCCCTCAGAGAGCAGCGCCCTCTCCAGGCCAGCTGCAGTGCCCCCTGTGTGCCGTACTTCCCGGGCACAGGCTCTCCTTGGTTACCTTTCTTGAGTAGCACCACAGTGGCGTCGCAGTTGCTGCTGTCGTCAATTTCGGCATTGCTGGCCAGGCCGTTGACCATGTTTCCAGCACCTTTCGTCCTTCTGTCGAAGCACTGATGTATGCAAGCGTTATATCTGAGCAGAGCAACAAGGGAAGAGAGCCCATCAGCGTTCGCTGTTCCTCCATTCCCCAACTCCCACTCAGTGTCCCTGGACGCAATAATAATAATAATTATTGTTATTACTAATAACAATAATTATTATAGTTATTATTCTGTCATTGCAGTTCCCCTCATAATATACAACCTGCCCCATTTTCCAATGTAAGGATATGTGAACATGAAATCAACTTTCCATAAACAAATAGTGACAAACTGCTTTCTCTGCAATCTCTTCAATGTCCATGGGGGCACCTCTGAGACTGAGCTCCCTGACCTGAAGTCCGTGCATGGAAGGACGCGGATGAGACTTAGTGGGATGGCCACGTCTACCTTCTCTGGGCCACGTCTCCAGGGCTTTTGCTGTCAGGGACACCTTGCTGGGGAAAGGAGAAGGTGTCTCATCCATGCTTCTACCTGGTGTGTCATGGTCTACGTGTGACCGATTGGCTGGCACTCTAGGTCTCTGTCTGTCTTGGGTTTCCTGAGGTCACAGATTGGCATCCTGTGATTCTCTGTTACTCTTATGCCATCATTTTTCTTTTTTGTTAATCCTCACAGGAGGATATTTTTCTGTTGAATTTTAGAGAGAGTGGAAGGGATAGAGGGAGACAGAGAGCGAGAAACATTGATGTGAGAGAGACACATCGATTGGTTGCCTCCTGCATGTGCCTTGACCCAGGCTGGGGATTGAGCCTGCAACCAAAGTAAGTGCCCTTGACTGGAATCGAACCCAGGACCCTTCAGTCCATGGGCTGATGCTCTATCCATTGAGCCAAACCAGCCAGGGCTTCTTATAAGAGGCAGAACATTACTACTGCGCAACCCTAAAGCAATAATGGAGTCAGATTTTGAGCATCAGTGGCTGCTGAGATCACAGAGAGACAACATGATTGCTGGTTGGAGGATGCACCACCACTTGGGACATAGTTTAACCTGAATCAGGTTGATGGAAACACAGAGGAAACACAGAGGCCAGAGGGGCAGGCCACACTACACCAATTTCCAAACTGTGGACACCTCTGTGGAGCAAGCAATCCAATTTTGTTGAAGAATAAATGGAAAGAAAAAAAAAAGGTAAACAGAGGGGGAATTTATAGATGAAAAGAGAGCCAAAACATGGAGCAATTAATTGTAATGAGTGGATTTTATTTGGATTCTGCTTTTTTAAAGTATTTATGACATTTATAAGATTAAACTAAACCTATAAAAATGATGTTTAAGAGATGATTGCAAATCTGAACACTGATTCGATCCTCAGTTCTATTGAAAATTAGCATTAACTTTAGGTATGATAATAATGTATTATGTTAAAAATCTCATATACTGAGATTTTTATGGATGAATTGGCCTGAAGTCTGAGACTTCAAATGATAGAGAGGAAGGGAAATTGATAGGCGTGTGGATGGAGCAACTGTGGGTGGCTGGTGGCTGGTGGTGAGCACATGGGATCCATCACACGATTCCAGAGATTTTCAACCTTTTTCATCTCATGGCACACATAAACTAATTACAAAATTCTGTGGCCCACCAAAAATAGATTATATTTTTTGCCAATCTGATGAAAATAAAAGGTATAATTTTGATTCACTCATACTGGACGGCTATTGTGTGGGCATTGCCACTTTTTATTTGACAATCTTTTGGTCAGTGCCCCTGCCTAAATAGTCAGGTATTGCATGCTTAGAAATTCTTGTGGCACACCGGTTGAAAAATTGCTGCACTATTCTGTTAACTTTTGTCTATATTCAACATCCTTCTTAGTGAAAGATCTTTCCACATTGTAGACTCAACAAGAGTGCCTTGCCCAACTAATAGAGCCATGTGGGAGGGGCACTGTTCTTGTCATCTTGACCCCGAATCCATTCTCCACATAGAAATACTGACTTGCATGAGGGTTTGGTGTTAAAGTACAACTCTGTGTTATATACTTATTTGGATTTGGGTAACAGGATACGACACTATGGATAGTACAGCGGGGCCTTGACTTATGAGTTTAATTCGTTCCGTGACGGAGCTCGTAACTCAAATTACTCGTATGTCAAATCTTAAAGTGAACGAGTGAGACACGTGATGCTGGGCTGATGTTGTGGCGTTCACTGTGACGTTCGCTGCGCCAACTAGCGATGGGGTATCTGAAGCTGGCTCGTAACCCGAATTTTAGCTCGCAACTCAAAGCAAAAAATCGGCCGAGAGATGGCTCGTATCTCGAAAAACTCGTTAGTCGGGACACTCGTAAGTCAAGGCCCCACTGTATTATGAGAACTTCCTTGAAACCAGATATTGGATAGTAACTATGCTGTCACACCCCATCCTTACAAAAAACATTGGAGGTAGGAAGTATGATTAACCCTGTTTTGTAGAAAAGGAAACTGAGATTCATAAATGCCTGAACAGCTTGGCCGAGGTCCCCATGCTAGTCAGTGGCAGGGTGGGGTCCGCAGCCAGGGTTTGAAGTGAAGGACTTGATCTTCGCCTCCGGACCATACTGCTTCATCTGGGGACCAAATCCCAGAGGAGTGATGCAGAGGTGCAGAAATCAGTCCTCGCCGAGGCCAGGTGTGCCTCATGTTCCCATGAGCTTTCTGGCCAAAGTAAGTGGCTCTTTGACTTCCTGACAGAGTGTTTAATGTCATTTAAAGCCACCTACCCAGGAGGCAGCTGAGGACTCTAATATATGCCATTTTTAACGGCTGCCGCTCTGTTTTATATTTTTAATTGAGTGTTTTAAATTTTGTGCTTGCACCCTGAAGCTACTTTATTGTGAAGCATGCAATTTTATAAATCAGATTTTATAAAACCTAATGATTAAAGCCTCTGATTGCAGAGGGGGATGGCTAAAGAGCAGAGATTTCAATTTAGAACTTAGGGCCAGGATTTATGGAGAAAATCCCGCAAGCACAGTGGCCGCCATTCCCGGTTTTATTTGTCTCCTGCTGGTCCGAGCGGCTGGAAGGCTAGTGAAGCTGAGGCATCAGCAGAAACACACCTCATCAGCTTTCACACTGGGTATGGTTTGGAGAAGAGGAGAGAAATCGCTCACTGTGTTCTCTTAACGTCCACATGCCCTGCCAGCAGCCCACGGGCTTGGTGATGGCCTGGCAGAGGGGTGCAGTGGTCACAGGAGGGGACTAGTAAAACCCCTCAACCCAGCTTCCCTGTAGACCAGCTTTGGTTTTGAAGACCTGCTTATTCTGTGAAGCTCCCAGTGAATTCAGTGTGGGACATGCTTTCATCTAAATTCAATTCAAAATGCTAGAGTTGCTGGGCATATAGCAGACAGTCAATTCTTTGGAAAAACTGACCAAAATGCCTTTTCTAAAAGGAAGAAAAGAGCTCTTGACTCTTTGGGAACTCAAACTTAGAACCACAGAAAGTAAAAAAGAGAAAAAAGAAAGAAAGGGTGAAATAAATAAAAACCAATGAAGAAACACACGTGTATTGTTGAGGCCTGTCCACTGTGACACTGATTCCCTAATAACTTTGCTATTTTAGAGAAAGAGGAGCAAGATGGATGCTCCCATCTTGAATGGCTTTTCCTTTGAAATCTAGATATGTCAGAAAGCCTTTGGGCCAACTCTAGTTTTTGTGGGAGCCCACCTCTTGGTATTTGTAAATGAAAGGTGATTTTTGATAAAAGCCCCTGATTTCTTGGTCAGTCATCTCATGGTTACTCTACACCATGACACTCTAGAGAAATGCCTTCTTCAGGTAACAAGACCCAGACATTGGGTCTGCACTGACCACGGACAGCTCCTGAGGTGAAGCCTGGACTCCCCATTGAGTGGTGGGTGGCAGGCCTGCAGACATAGGCAAGCCAGCTCCTACCTTCACAGTTCAGGTGACCTTTGCCAGAGGCCACACTGATTCCTCTGAACGGGGCTCGCAGCCACTGGTGGCTGGACTAATTACTGTCAGGCCTCAGAGCAAGGAAACCTTGACCTGCCAGTTCCAGCCTGCTCCCTGCCATGTCCAAACTGGCAGCTTCTGAAAGCCTTCGAATTTCTTGCCCCCTGAGAAGGAAATCACCGCTGCGGTCACATATGCTGAGGAAAGTATGGGCTAATTTAGAATAAAAGAAACTGTTCCCATGGGGGCTGGCAGCTGCAGCACTGAAGATCTCTGTACTATTTATAAGCTCCTCATCCCAATGGGACTTGGCAAAATGATGAACCAGCAGGTTCACAACCCTGGTGCTTACATTTTACCTTCGAGTATGGGGAACATTTGCAGGGCAATTCATATATATATATATATATATATATATATATATATATATATATATATATATATTTTTTTTTTTTTTCTTGATTTCAGAGAGGAAGAGAGATAGGAACATCAATGATGAGAGAGAACTATTGATTGGCTACCTCCTGCACACCTCACGCTGGGGATCGAGCCTGCAACCTGTGCCCTGACTGGGAATTGACCTGTGACCTCCTAGTTCATAAGTGGATGCTCAACCACTGAGCCATGCTGGCTGGGTTACAGTGTAATTCTTGATATAAATAGTAAGCTATCCAAACTCTAAGAGGGAAAAAACCATATGATGTGCTGGGTTTAAAATGTATCCACAAATTCTTCGACACTCTTCCTTTCACAAGGCAAAGCAGACCCTTTGAGTGTGGACTGGACTTAGTGACTTGCTGCTAATACACAGAATATGACAAAAGCGATGGCCTGTGATTTGTGAGACTAGATTATAAAAAGCATTGTGGGGTCCTTCTTGCTCTCTCTTGGAGCTCTTGTGTGGGACACTCGAGTAGTCTTCAGGAGAGGCCCATGGGGTGAGGAGCTGAGGCCTGCAGCCGATAGTCAACATTAACTCACCAACCATGCAAGCGGGCCACCTTGGAGCACCATCAAGTAGATGACGGCCACTCTGGCCAATCTCCAATCTGCAATTTCATGAAAATCCCTGAGCTAGGACCCTCTAGTCAAGGTGCTCCTGGGTGCCCAACTCTCAGAAACTGTATGAGATAGTACATGTTTGTGGTTTGAAGACACTAAGTTTTGGGATCATTTGTTACACGGCCCTAGATAACCAGGCAAATAATGGAAGTCCATAGATATTTCAACCATGGTTTTAGTCATCTCTTAATTAGCTCTGGTCCCTTCTCTCATCCTATATAGAAGCATAAGTAATTAAGTTTTACCTCCTTTCTTGTTATGAAAGAGAAAGAAGAAATAGCCAAAACCTAGGTGGCCAGGCCTTGAAGAGAGCTTTCTCTTGAGAGATTTCTCAAATTAAACTGAAGCTTTGATTCTATCATTACACATGGATTGGAAGGGTCTTTTCTATGGCTACTACCAGAGCTGCAGTGATTCATAGCAGTTGCCCAGGGAGCCAAATGAGCCTGTGACGATATGCAGCGAAAGCCAGCCAGATCCCTGACCTCTCCCCTGTTCCTCTTTCCACATTATCACATATGTTGAATGTAGAAAACAGTCTTGGGAAGGAAACTAAGAAAGCATTTTACTTACTTCATGATGACAATGTAGATAAAATACATCAGCACAAGGACTAAAGACTCCCACCTGTGTACACACCAAGAAAGGCTAGTTAAAGCAAGTCACCATAGGCAGATTGCAACACACCAGCCTATTTTTAAAAATGTAATTAACGTGAACGGCAGTAAACCTGCCAAGCATGGCAAGGATAAGGCAGACGTGCAGACTGCTTTCAAAGATTCCCCAGTCGAAGATGTTTTCCGGACTGCATACAGCTTTCAATGACCTTTCTCTTTTGTACTTGAAAGGGAAATAACTGCTCCTTCCTCTGCTATTCACTTGCCCCAACTCCTTCCTGGAATGCAGCAAGCCTTCCAGAATATTGCTGAATATTGGCTTATCTTTATAAATCTGTCCACAGCTTAATTACTCACTAAAACTAGATATATTTACCAAAAGCAAATGAGAGGAATGGATAGGGACAACTAAGGAGCAAGGCATAAGAAGAGAGAGAGTGGGAGAGGGAGGGAGGGAGGGAGCTGGCAGGGAAGATGCCAACAGGAAAGATAAGAATGAATGAGTGGGGAAATGGTCAAAGGAAAGAAACAAAAAATAATGAAACCCACTGAAATTTACCTTAAAATTCTGATAATTTGAAAACTTCCATTGTCTTTATTTTAGTAACTTCAAACTGAAAAACAAGGGATTTTGATATCTAGGCTTCCTTTTAGTTGTAGAATTAAATTAACCAACCGAGGGTGCAATTTTGGCTTCTAGAAAAAGTTCTTATAGAATGGTCTATGAAGAAATTGTGGATTATTCCTTTCCTTCCTTTTCCTTTCCTTGTCTAGAAATTGATCCTAGATAAATATGTGGTTAAATTAAAAAAGAATGCACATACAAGGGTTTTTGTTGCAGTGGTATTTATAAAAATGAAGTGTTGGAAGGAAGCAAAATGTTTATATACATATGTTATGATAAGTATGTTCATACAATGGGCTACCAACATCAGTTAAGAATGATTATCAAATGCCTATCTACTTATTCTAGAAAGTGCTTGTGATGCTACTGAGAGAAGAAATCAGGGCGTCCAAATCCCTTGAACTTCTGCTATGTATCTTGGCTTCTCTCTTAGCAAACATTCTCAAAGGTTTGTTACACTACATTCCAGCACCTTTCATTTTCTTAGTCAAACTCCTATATCTGTCAATGCAACTCTTGACGGATGAAACTCTTGTCAAGGGCACCTGCACCCTCCATCTACACAACTCCAGGGCCGGTTCTTTGTCATCCTGTTCAACTTCTCTACAGCATCTGAGAGTTACCTACCTGCCCTCCTTCTAAACACTCTGCTCCTGACTTCCAAGAGGCCACACTCCTAGTTCCCCTCCTAATTTCTCCTTCCCCAGCCCCTTTGCCTCCTCCATTTCCTCAGTTCAGCCTCTAAATACGGGACTCTCTTCTCTTTTTACCCACACGGTCTCCCTAGGTCAGTGATGGCGAACCTATGACACGCGTGTCAGAGGTGACACGCAAACTAATTTTTTTGGTTGATTTTTCTTTGTTAAATGGCATTTAAATATATAAAATAAATATCAAAAATATAAGTCTTTGTTTTACTATGGTTGCAAATGTAAAAAAATTTCTATATGTGACACGGCACCAGAGTTAAGTTAGGGTTTTTCAAAATGCTGACACGCCGAGCTCAAAAGGTTCGCCATCACTGCCCTAGGTGATGTCATCCTGTTCTATTGCTCTGAAGACCAGCTGACACATCTACCCCACACCTCTGCCCAGCTCCAGGTTCATGTATCCAGCTGTGAGTATGGCCTCTCCACGTAGAATCTCAATGCATCTCAGACGGAATTCTTCGTTCCTAGCTTCATTTTCCCCTGAGCTTTGCCATCTTAGTACACTGTCCTACTCCCTGCTCAGTCACGGCCTCAGTCTGGAAATCAGCCTGGAGCCCTCCTTTACCCTCACCCATGTCTATCAGGACTCTATGTTCATATGTCTCCTCTCTATTGCTACCTCCCTAGTCCACCTTAACTCTAGCCTCCGAACTGGCTTCCTTGATGCTACTGGGTCATGTCATTCTTCTGCTTAAAATTCTTCAATTGCTTCCCAAAGTTCTTGAGGAGAAAAAAGGTGCATATCCTGGTTCTGTTTTCTTCCTCTCCAAATCATCGTGTGCCCTGTCTTGCTTCACCATACTGGCCTCCATTCATTTGCATGTTTCAAGCTTTTTCCTTCCCCACAGAGCCTTTCCATTACTGTTTCCTCTTCCTGCAGTGTTTTTCCATTCATTCCTTGGCTGGTCCCTTTCATCCTCCAAATATCAGCTTAAATGTTGCCTCCTCCAAGCAGTCTATCCTGCCTACCCCTGCTTCACTTTCTATCACAAGACTTTGCTTATGTTCTTTAGACCTCTGATCAGACTGTGATTCTTATTTACTCATGACTTATTAATATATAATGCCTGTTTGTCGCAGCCACTGGATAGCAGTTTTCACATTTAGCCCCTACCTCAGCTATATGGTTTCTCATTTTCAGACACCTAAAACAGACTGCTGGACAACTGATTTCCCAGCAAGGACACACCTCCTCTTCCCCTCAGCTCCTCTGTGCAGGGTGGAACTACTTCCAAACATCGCTTTTCAGTTGCAAGATATTTCCAATGGCCTGAACAGGGCTCTTATCTTATTGAAATCATTGAAACCAACATAGATGCGGCATCAATTTATTTGGGAAAAGTGAGGTTTTATTCACAGCATTCATTTTGAGAGAAGAGATACCCAGGATCTGAAGGGAGTCATGTAATTGCTGCAATACATCTTAATAGACTCAGTGAGGGGTCACCAGAAAATGAACCAACATCAATGATGTCTTCGTTAAGTTGAATTAAGTTCAGCACCTTCTAAAGAGTTATACTCTCCAATTCCTTTAGATCTTTCTGACTTTTCACTCTAAGCAAGCCCTTTCATTGCAATATTCGAGTAAGGTTCTCTTCTGTCACGGTTCAGGGATGCCCATGACATGGGGGTTCCTTGATTCTGTTGACATTTCAGGTTTGCTTTGTTGTGCCCAGATTCAGGGCTCACCCAGGGCTCCCCTACAAAATGCACCGGGTTCTCTGACGCCTCTGTGCTGCTGCATCTCCCATTCATTCCCTCTGCTTTTGGGCCCGATTGAGTGTCTGATGATCAAGTTTTGGCTCAATGCTCTTGGGGTCCCTCCCCGTGTCCTGTGCATGTCTCCAAATGACTCTTAATTACATGTCACCCATCTGCCTCCCCTCTAGCCCAGAGAGCTCAAGAGTTGGGTTCTGTGTTGTGTCTAGTTCTGGAACAGAGCCTGGCACCCGGAAGGTGCTCAGGCAACAGCTGTGGAATTGACTGACTGCCTGCAGACCTCTCAAAGCTCACAGCTCTCCTCCCCCTCCTCCCCAGGATGCTCTTCTCCATCTGCTTCTGAACACAGTCCACCCGCTGTCCTCGGAGGACCTGGTCCTGTGGTATGATCTGGGTTTGTTTCTTCCCTTCCCCCAAACTTCTGTTTTGAGCCACCTTCAACTGGCCCTGATTCTCCTGCCAAAGAATGTTTTTTCTGTGTTGGAGGGCCAGTCCTTGTTCTTGCCTGGGGGGCATGGCTCCACTTCCCTAACTATAGTCCAGAACAGCGAAGGCTGGTCTCCACATGACACAGGTGGACAGTCTCCTTGTTGTGTTCTCAGGCTCTCCTTTCTCTCCCTAATTCTCAAGCTGAGGCTCAAAGGAGAAATGAAAATACCACCCTGGATCCTGTCATTTTCTTGTTAGACCTTCAGACTCACTGAAGCCACAGTTTAGATTCCTTCTGGCAACATCGTGGGCCTTGCTGAGCCGTCATCATGGATTCATGGGCCTTGCTTTGCAGGCTGAACATACATCCTAACAGGTGGATGCTTTGTACTTTAAATGTCTTTTGTGGCAGGTACATAACTAGAAAGCACATAACAGATACTCCCCTGCCTTTTGCCTGCAAATCAAACCCCACTATGTTGAGGCAGCAACCCTTCAATCTCAAGGAGGGTGGGCCCAGTCCCAGGATAAATAATGATTTGTCTAAAATTATAATTCCATTCTCCCTGTCCACTTACTGGTCAAGGCAGACCCAACTGTGACCAAAGAGATGCAAGGTAGACATAGCACCTTCCTCCTTCTTGCCTTCAATCCAAACTTGACGGCTGGACCTGCGGCAGCCCTTTTGGGACCATAGGAAAAGGCCAAGAGAAAAGGAGAGCCATTGCCCACCCGCATCTGGGGTACTTGCTATGTAAGAAACATAAACCAGCATTTCTTTAATCTGCTGTCGCTGGTTTTTCCTGTTACTGCTACTAAAAGCATTCTGAGTACCACCTGTGGGCTAAGTGTGACTCACTGCAGGCTGCCGCCTCAGAGCAGTGAAGGAACCTCAACTGTGTACGACGGTGACACTGTCCTTGTGTATTTGTACTTGACGAGGTTCATTGCTTCCTAAAGAGAACTCTAGTTTCAAATGAAACACAAATGAAGTTCATTTCCTTCTGCAGATCTGGGGTAGATTGGTTACCTTCCTTGAAACTTCTAGACAGGCTGGGAGGTTCGGCAACAAGGAATGGAATTCAATGTTTGCAGTATCACTGAAATATGACTGTGCTTTCATTGCACAGATCGATGAATCTGGCTTCAAAGGGAGACATCAACTCTCAGACACACCCTCTCAGCAAAATAAATGCTCATGTTTGGCTGGGTAATAAGGGCTGAGGTGTGGACAGTGACAACTATCTTAAAGTGCAATATAATTTTCTCTCATATGAGGAGCTGGAATCCCTGGAATTTCCAAAGCAGTTATGGGCCAGTAGCGCAGACATGAACTCCTCAGCCTCACTCACGTGAAAAATGTTCTTCGCCAGCCCATCCACATAATAACAGTAATAGGCTGGCATCTGGAAATAATGTTGTAGAGACATGAAAGCCTCTCTACTTCTTTCCTGAAGCTATGCCTGTGCATGAGTTATAATGCGAACCCACTCCAGGCTGAAGAAAACACACTGGGAATTTGCAACTCACTTATCTGTGGCCTCCCATCCCCTTCCTCATGATGCCACGTACAGCAGCCTTGCTGCAAGGCTCTGAGTTCTACCTGAGGATGGGGTCACCTGACATCACAGGGGGGTCAGCCCTGGAAATGAAGGGGAAATAGATGGTCCCTTTCTTGCTCCATCCCATCTGAAATATCTGGAAAGATGTTCTGAGGGCAAGGACTAAAACAGGCTTCGCATGAACCCTGCTTTCATCTCCCCTCCATGGTGGCCATCAGCAAGGCCAGGGAGATGCAGCAAAGAGAGCTCCTTAAGACCGACAGACAGCAGACCCCTCCCGAATCTCCTTTCTGAAGGATTCCCGCACAAAGGCAGCAGAAACATTTCTGAGGTCGACTGTGATCCTAATGTCTGTCTTTATGACAGCAGCGACACTGAGCCACGTGTGAGCACTGGTTGCTAAGGCAGAGCGGTGGCTGTGCTGCCCCTGCCATCAGCTGCAGTGAGAATCTTTTGTAAGGACGAGGGGGGAAATGCCACCACTGCATCTGGTGACCATGTCCAGATGGGTCCCATGAGAAGGTTCTCCCTGACTTATTGATCTCTGACCTGATGTCCTCCTGGGTGTCTCAATCCCTTTCAGCCTATTGATCACTGTTACTCAAAGAAGACCTCCTTCTTATTTTTTATGGGTCAATAGAGAGGTTATGTATGTGTCTTAAAGCAAGTTTTCCAAGCTATCTCCTCCTCACCCTTCCTGGACAGAGAGTTGGCAAAAGTATCTTAATGCCCTGACCTAGTGTATAACATTTTCTATCAATGTGACCAGTTCTCCCTGTCCCCACTTCCAAATTCTGAAAGTCACAGAGATACCCCAGGACACAGAGATGTCACTCTAACAAAGCATTAGCACCCATTTTGCTGGGAGGGGAGCCTGGCAAACTCTGTGCTTTGTTTTCTAGTTCATTCTTAGCTTTAAGTAACACAGTACCACCCCTAACTATTCCTAAGATGTTATTTCACATTACTCTACTTCTATAGATCAAATGTTTAAAAAATAACAAGAATGCACAACACATCCAATTTCCATTTCCATTTCAAATAGACTTGACTGCTCAGAACCCATTTCAAAAATGGGGATTTGGAGAGTTGGCCCAAATACAAATGTTCCCAGGTATTTAATTTGGGCAATTTAAAAAAAAAATCTATCCAAAACAAAACCCACTGACTTTTCAGAGCTCTCAGATCTTCTGAAATGTCAGGCAGAACTTTCATGGGTTGGAGGTCACTGAAGCGCCTCCACCTCTGGGTTCTGAGGCAGCAGGTGGAATATGCCAACAAGGTCTGGACACAAGTTGGAAAGATTAGTCAGGTCTTTACTATGGCACAGCCAAGGGCTGAGTGCAGAAAGGCACAGCTAAGTCACGTATCTAACCTGGAGGACGAAGACACGGGATATTAGGAGTGGAAACCCACCACCTAGCCCACGACAAGACCTCTTCTCTGTGCAGCTAATGTAATTCCTTTCTGGAAGTGGACAGAGGGTTCCCGAGAAACGCTAGCTGTTCCAAACTGTCATGACATGTCCCTTTCTTCCTTAAACCCTGAATCTGGTCTCCCATATATTTGGCTCTGCAACATAACAAGGAACGTTGGAAGGGAAACAGAGGTACTCACCAGGAAACTTGTTCATCGTAAATGAACTGTGGGGGGAAAAAAGTATAGATTAGACACGCACATGTGCACGCATGCCCAAACACGCATGCTTTACGACAGGCTGCCCTTGCTGCTGGCTTGGTAAGAATTGGGGTGGGGCTGGCCTGGCACACGAAGCCTGTGGGCAAGCTCCCCTCCCTGCTGGTTTAGTCTGTGGCTAGTGTTAGTGGAAGGAGGTGCTGTTGGCAGACTGGCGTGGACACGATGGGGAGGGGAGAAGCAATAGGTCGTCCCATCCTTCCTGCAATTTCTGTGCAACCACGGATTGTGAGGGAAGCATGACTGGCCTGCTGTGTAGAGCAAGACGCACTGTAGAATTTTATGTCTGGAAGGGATGTAGGCGCTTGGCGGGGGCTCGCACACACCCGCCACTCTGGGCCACCTGTGAGCGCGAGCCTGTCTCTGTGCACGGTACAGCGCCTTCAAGCTTTTACACAAACATCTGGAATTCTTTGTACTCAACACCTTTCTTTCAGTTGACCTATATCCTTAGAAGAATTTACTTTCAAAGGAAACTTTACATCACAGCCAGAAGCAGAGAATCAGCATCAGGTGCCACCACGTGCAGAGGGTAAAAATACATGCGTGACAACAGTGACTGGAATCCTGGCTGCCCAGGCTCTGGGTCACAGGCCTGCCCTTTTGTTGAAGAAGGTTAGCAAGGGTTGAGCAGTGGAAGACACACAAGTACCAAGTGGAGACTTCTGACCAGTTAGTATCCAAAGAGAATACATAATAGGATTGCATTCATTTAAGCCCTAGACCATATATCATCTAAAATCATTTCTCCTTTTGGGGTAAAAAACCAAAACAAAACCAAAAACAAAACAAAAGCAAACCCACCCCCCCCAAAACTGGTATAATTTAAGTTCTTTGATTTTGACAGGAAAATGGAGTCACAGAGAACATGAAACATTGTTTTGGGGTTGCTGAATTTGCTGCGGTGTTCATTCTAGAACCCAGACCTGGCTGCTAACGCAGTGTGCTCCACCTGACTTATCTGCCCAGACAGCACATTGCTGAAACGAAATGGGTGCACCTGTCCTTCCTTCAAGCAGGAGCCGAGGGCTGGTCGCAGCTCTTCCTTCCTACACTCACTGACATGACTGCTTGGAGTGTGATCACGACTGAGTGGCTTTTCGCTCAGGGGCAGTGGCCAATGGGAACTCCAAGGTAGACAACTGCAGGACAGGCTGGGTGCACAGTGTCATTCCTGCAGGGAGATGATGAACTCCGCTCGTGATGTGGGCCTGGCTTCTGTCCCCAGCGACTACAGTGACCATCTGTTGTGAGACGCAGAGGAAACCACCACAAAGACGTGCAGGGTACAGAGCAGAGGCACGTCAGAGGACCCTCCTCCAAGGCCCCCGGAAGTGCAGAGAGAGGGGTGAGGAGAAACGGGCACACTCATTTGCAACTCGCTCTTCCTCAGAGACATGGAAAAAGATGTTGGCTCCGCCAGGTCGGTGACTCTGGTCGTTGTGATCAGTGTCAACAGAGTGACACTGGATAAAAGTGTCAAACTGGAATGGGAAGGGGACTAAGGGGGTGAAAGAAGCGATGGGGCGGCCCGGGCTGGATGGTTTGGGATCCGCTCTCGGAAGGCGGTCATGGATGCTTCTGTACAATCGCTAGCTTTAAAAGAATTGCTTTCAAGAAATCACGGAACAGAACCAATGATTTAAGTTGGAAAACGTTTTCTATTAATTGAAGTTAATTCAATATCAGTCTTAAGCAGTGGGCTGGAGCAATCAATTCATAGCCACTTAGAAGGGCAATGGATGCTGGTACAGGGTTTATTAGAGCACCAATTTGATTTCCATCTCTCAGGGAAGGCAGGCCATCCTCTATAGTAGGAAAGTAGCTTTTAGGAAGCCCTTATTATGTGTGATTTGACTGACATGGGGGCACAGAGCAATACATCTTTAGCTGTTCTTTCAAGGATCATACCAATAAAAAAAAATCAGAATAGAGGGGCAAATCTGGACAACATAGGACATGATACGCAATTAAGGATGGAGTGTCCTGGGCCTGACGTCCAGGTAATACCTGTGGCCGGGGAGTGATGGGGGAATATGGTTCAGAGAGGCGGACAGAGGAAGAGAAATGCAGATGATCTGGCTAGAGTACTAACAAGTGGTGCAATGAGGAGTCCTCCAAGTAACAGATGCAGCCATGTCTCACCCCTGACCACTCAGCCAGGAGGCCTTCGCTGCCCTGTGGCTAATAAGCACACAGTGTGGTTGCTACCCCATTACTTTAAAAGAACTGGATAAAAAAACAAGAAAGGACTCAAAAAAGAACAATCAAATGGATAAAAGGAACTAGAAACCAGGCCTTTATGGAAATCTAAATGGAAATTGGCTTGTTTATGGTGAGAGAGGAGGTGGAAGGTGAGTTATGAGCCGCCTCCGAGCATCAGATGATCGTCATTCAAAGGCTGAAAATGAGGACATCGGCACTGGTCACAGAGTGTCCCCCCAGGCAAGTACATCCTTCAGAAGTGTTGGAATCAGCCTGCCTGAAAACTCTTAAACTGACAGGGCAGGAGACTCTCACTCGATGCTGCTGATGGTTAAGGAATGGATTATTCCTTACAGATTTTATTTTATTCTTTTAAGACAAGTGTTGCATATCCTTTTGTATCATCATGCTCTCTCTGTGACTAAAAGAAGACAAAATAACTTCTCCATCCCTTCCAGCGGTATTACTAGGGTAGGAGACAACCCGAAATCAATTTTATGTCCTGTCTGAAACAAGAAACCGCGCCCCAGTTCCATCCAGTGACCACTAGATGGCGATCGCATCACAGCCCTCAGGCTTGTCTCTCTGCCAAGGCAGTGAGGTTTGAAATGAAGTCAGTCCAAGCCCATTAAATCTCCTGGAAGGAGGGCAAACACCTCAAGGCACACAGCCTCCTGAGGGGCCTTCAGCAAATCCACTGCTGTCGCAGGGCAAGGTAAGGCTCGGGAGGCAGCTCCTGCCTGGTGCTCTGAACTGGGGACAGGTGGATCCCTCATCTTATGCCAACGCTCAGTTCCCCTGATGCCTTGAGGTTGAGGGACCAGCTGGGTCCCTTCAGAACTGACCCACTCTTTTCCCAGTCAGAGTTTTGAAAACAGGCCTTGGGAAAGCAGCTCTGTGAGCTCTGCTGGGGGTGTCTGGGGCCAGGCACTGGGTCTGCCCGCTGTGGCCACATGTGGGCAGTGCTGACTGCTACCTGGATCCCAGCTTTGCTGCGCATGGCTGGTCAGAGCACCTGCTCTCTGACCCACCCGTGGTTCATCCAAAGCCTCTTTCGGCTTCGCCCAGAGCTTTGCACGTGTTCCACAGATGAATTAAATGGGAACATACAGGAGTGCATTTCTCTTTTCCTCCGGGCGTCAGAGAAACAATTGGGTTCCATGGAAACGAGCTTTTCAGACCTGGTGTCTGCTCTAGAAGCCTTCCAAGAGAGATGGGCCGCCATCAGGCAGGTGGGTCCGTGGTGTTAGAACACCCCAGGGAATGCTAAGGGAGTGGCACATTCAAGATGGCACAGAAGGGAAAAGACGAGCCAGGATTCGCCCAGGTGAGGGAGCAGCAGTGGAGAGGCCGGCCGGGCTCTGCGCAGGGCGGCAGGTGGCTGTCCCTGTGGTGCACGCCGCCCCTGGTTTTGCTCACGGTAAGCTGTAACCATGGAGCAGGACGGCTGCACTGCTGAAGCTAAGATTGCGTAACTGGTATTATAATCACTGGCGCCGTTAGAATTTTAAGCAGTGAAAATAATAGAAATCGACGCCATCATTCTCTTTCAAGAGACCGAAACCTGGAAAATTTCTCTTTTACTGGAAATATAACTGTTTCTCCCCACCAGACTCTACCCACGACAGTGTGGAGTCACCCTCAGATGTGCCCTAATGGAGTCCTGACTTCCTCAGCTTCAGGGCCCAGGGGTGTAGACAGCTTAGCCAATGCGATTCCATCCGAGGAGGAATCAGATGGAATACGCTGGGAAGCTGCTGCTATGCACTGAGATGGTTTACACGGGAAGGGTAAAGGGTGTTGGAAATTGGGCCATGAGCACCTCTGGCAGGCAAACTTGACAGCGATGGGGCTGCAGGAGGCTCAGAGGGTGATGAGCCAGAGGCCATGGAGGCCAGGGGCGTTAAGGATGACCATCCACATGACCATAAGATGTCTCTCTCTCAAAGAAAGGCCAAGATGAGAACATTTCTGGGCGGTGTTACATTTGGTGAAAGAGTTCCAGGAGCGGGGTGGTGGACGCTCTTCTCTTCCATCTAAAAACCTAAGGGTAAGCGCCGCAGACATGCTTCTCTAGGGCGGATTGCGTAGTAGCTGAGGTAACATCAGGATGACTTCAGAGACAGAAAGGCAGATTTTATTGGAGAGAAAATCCGAATTCTTTGCAGGGGTGGTGTAGATGTATGATCTTAGACACCTGCTCTGGTAAACCTGACCTTTTGGCAAATGCCTGAATTTCCGGAGCCTCAGTTTTGCCGTCTCTGAAATGGGACTCCTGTAGTCGCCAGCTTGTACTGTCAGGAATATTGAACTGGGAAATCGTCAACAGACCTAACAGAGCTCTCAATCCTGTATTAAGCATGGAGGCTATGCTTGTTAACACTTACAGATGCTGTGACAGTGTAGGTCTATTTTCTATGGGAGAATTTGCTCTCTAACAACTGCTCTCCAGTATGATGGGCACTAGTCACCTATGGCGACACAAATGTAAATGAATTAAATCAACATGCTAGGCCTGTGGTCTCACTAGCAGCATTTTGAGAGCTCAGTAGCCACATGCCTAGTGGCTGCCATGCTGGACTGTGCTGCTAGGCCACCTCTGGCAGTCACTTGAGTCATCTCTCTTTGTCCCCACAGAATCCCCTCTAGAGGGGAGATTGCAATGAGCCCTCCTGGGGGGGGGGGAGGGGGGGAGAGAGAGAAAGAGAGAGAGAGAGAGAGAGAGAGAGAGAGAGAGAGCAGTGTCACCTCAAATGAGCCTCACTGCTGTGCTGTATCTTGCTCCGGTCGGTCGGTCGGTCGCCCTGATGGCCTCCCAACTGGTGCTAATGGCTCACCTGGCCCTTCTCCAGGGAGACAGCACTCCCCAGTCTGGATCCGTGACCCCGTCCAAGTTATCCTGAAGCTGTCTGAGGCCTATCGACTCCACGGAGGTTTCCCTTCTGTTGAGGCCCACGTCCCCAGTCTCAAAGCAGAGATGAAGGGTAAAAATAAAGTATTCCTTTTAGGGCAGCTGTTAGACCGAGGATGTAATGAATCATTTGCATTTATGTAAATTGCATGATTATGTAAATTACAGTAACATTTCAATAAGAGAGACTGCGGGGCCTGCTGGAATTTGGAGCAAGGATAGGAGTGGGGACTGGAGCTGTCTGTGGTGAAAGTCCAAGTGGGGAATTACGGGGGAGGGAGAGAAGCAGTAGGAGGGTCCCTGAGGATGAGGAGACTATTGGGTAGATGCATGAAGGGACATACTCCAAAGAGCCCAGAATACTCCCAGGTCTGAAAGGTGAGACTTCTCTTCTAGAGACCACAGTTATGGGCCACCCTCCCGGCCACATCCTGCTTCTCCAGGGCTGGAAGCTTCCCTGCAGAGAACGTCATCAGGGCTACAGGGGAAAGGCTCCGAGGCACGCACTGTCCGTTTGTGAAATGATAACTGCCTTAGGCAATACCATCTTCTTAATTTCTTCCCTCTCTCCCTAAAAACCAACAGTGAGCACACCAGAAAACAGCACAGAGCAGCTACCTAAGTGAACTGAGTCCCTCGTCTCAAAGTGAGCTGTTAAGCTCTGCTGGTTTCAGAATGCATGCATTTGCCGTACTCTCATAGTTTTTTTCTTGGCTGGGTCCATCTGCACCAATTTCCATTGTAGCTGTTTCAGGATTCAGGTAGCACCGACTCCATTAGCACCCTCCTGGCCCAGTGGCCATGAGCATCCCTGGAGAAGTTATCTTTCCCGCTTTTTGGGTCCTCTTCTGGGCCTGAAGGACTGCCCCCAGGGACATAGATAAACGTGGCATCTGATCTCATTTAGTGCAGACTTGCCCTCTGGGTAAACTCACTCTTCATTGTATCACCTCAGGGGACCGGCAGTCCAGTCTTCTGAACAGTTCAGAACCATAAAAAGGGGAAGAAGGGGTTGGGGAACCCTAATTGTTAAAATAAATTGTTCAGGTGATTGGTAATTATTTGTGGATAGAAGGAAAGGCTTTTAAATACAGGAATTTTAAATGCCCACGGCAGGGTCCTGTAGAGAAGCTTAGTATTATATAAGGAAGGCCAGAAGGAAAGTGATTTTGTCACCATGACATTAGGGGAACACAGAAAGAGGAGACCAGGAAACCTTGACAAAAAGACACACCATTACGTGAGCAGCAGCAGCATAGCGCTGGGCATGGGACAGATTTGGAGATACTGAGAAACCTCCATTGCCAAGTGCCACTAAGCACTGTCTTCTGGGTATAAGACTTCTACCCTTCATGATGGTTTTACGTTTCATGTGATAATGACCCTGGGAATGGGCAGCAGTCAGAAATTCACAGCCAAGTGGCCACTATGCCTTGCTTTTGAGAATCTCAAAGTTTACTCTAGAAATGGTCATGGCCATGCAACAGCCAGCTATCTGGCTATCCAGGTCTCTGGAGGAAATGGTGTCCAGTGGTATTTGAAGTTCAGTTTCTCAAAGTGCAGTGTGGTGCTAGCAGCAGAATCACCTGGGGATGGGGAGAGGGTCCGGGTAAAGTGCAAATTCCTGGGTCCTGCCCCAGAACCGCTGGATTAAAACCTCCAGTTGTGCATTCTGAGTAAGCACGCTGGGCATGTCCGGGCACACTGAAGCTGGAGGAGCGCCAGTTAAAGTACCAGGAACCAAGCCCAAGCCCTGAGGACCCGAACTTGCCTTTCCCCATTTCTTCCTAACAGGGAGAAATGCAATTTTTCTCAAAACACAAAACTCTTGACATCTGGTCTTTAAACACAGTTCACCTTCAGGGAACTGCCAGGAAGTGCTTGCTTTTGCACGTTGTTGCCATGAGGGGGGATGCAGAGCTGCGGGCAGCCTGAGTGTCTGCTCAGCTCTGCCATTCGCCCCCCGCACATGGGGGCCCAGAGACCCCGCTCCAGAGAATGGCACCTGCAGCCTGAAGCCGCAAAATGGCTTTACTTCCTCACTTAACACATCATTAGCAACAAGTACTTCTGATTCATCTCGGACGTGTCAGGATGAATTGTACAGAACACAAGTTATTTCACACGCAGACCAGGAGGTATCAATGCTGAAAACTGAGAACGAAGCTGAGGCCAGCACTTGCTTTGGGGAGCGGACATTGCCAGGTCTGTGCTCCTGGCCACGTTGGCCAGAGCTGTTGATCTCATCACCTTGTCTTTCTGAGCGTGGTCATCTCTTTCTGGAATTCAGCAAACGTAGAAAGCTGCATACCCCACCCCCTAACCATGCCTCTTTTAAAAAGTAACTTTCAAAAATATCCTAAAATACCCCAAGATGGAAGAGCACAGCGCACGTGATCAGCGCGGTTCCTGCACCTCTGCGGGGAGTGTCAGACAGGTCTGGGCTCGGGGAGCAGAAGAGTCTTCTAGAATTGGGGTGCTCATACCTTTTCCATGGGTTATAATTGAGAACAAGAACACAGAGTCAAGTGTGTCCTTAGGTTTCCTACCCAGGGGCTCAACAGCGTCTTCAGGTCCCACGTGAGCTCTCCTTCAGGTGGGTCTCACGCTCCCCATTATCAATGGCCCTGGAATGAGGGGACTGGCTCTAACCCAAGACCTTCACTGTGATCCGTAGGTAAGAAAACTGTGACCCGGAGAGATTGATTTCTCCGGGGACACTGAAGCTGGTAAGGGCGGGGAGGGGTGGGGACCAGAATTAGAAGTTAGATCTCCCAACTCCCATTTCAATTCTTTCTGGCTTGCCAGCCTTCTCTGGGCAGCATGGTTGCCACGCTGAGGAGTTTGGTTTGTCCCCACAGCAGACATAGAGCCAGTGAGCATTGAAACAAGGGACCCATTCCCAGGTGTTCTTTGTGAAGATAGCACTTGGGATGGATTGCGGGGAGCGGTAAGAGGAGGGGGGCAGCAACACTACTCATTGCAACACCGACCTGGGATGATCTGCTCAGGCGGGAGATGTAAAAAGCCTCAACTGATGGGTTAAGGAGAACACACTGGGGAGATTTTTGCAAGATGAAGATCCACAGGACAAGTAAGCCAAATGAGCACAGTGGCAGGTGGGGGAAAGGTGAGTTTAATCATTCCCAGGGTGGGTGGCAGGATAGGAATGGGGGCCAAGACATAGGAAGAGGGCCGGTCTTGGAAAATTGTCGTCAGTTTAGAGACATGTTGAGTTTGGCGGATGAAGATGTGTAGTAGAGAGTTTGCTTATCCATGGCTGAATTTCAGGGAGCTGCCACTGTTAAGAGCACAGGGTAGGGGTGTCCGCACAAAGGTGTTAATGGCGACGGGCGCTGTGGGAAGAGCAGGGAAGTCCTGGGAGTGCGTACTGAGTGAGAGGGAGAAGTAAGGCCCAGATCCAGGGACGCTGGCGATGAAGGGAGTTACAGAGGAGCCGGTGAGGAAAGTGAGCGGGAACATCAGGGGATCACAGAAAAACAGCAGGGGCTCTCATGCAACCAGATAACCACAGGTGACATTCCTATTCTGAGCTCCAACTATCAGGTGAGAGGTGCTGGCTGATCAAAGTAGCTGGAAGAGAGAAAGATCGTCTCCAGGCATAGACATCCATTCGCTCGTCTATCACCAGGCACCTCAAACACACTCCATGCAGAGGAGCCGCACATAACCCTGAGTGGTAGGAAGGGTGGTCGGGAGCTCAATGTAAGGGAATTCAGGCGAGGTGTCCCCCACACACTTACCACGATGAGTGCAACCACAGACAGCGTGTAGTAAATCGAATCCCTCAGCAGGCACCAGGAGGACAGAGCCACAACCTGAAGGAAAAGCGGGGGAAAGACAGTAAGAAGCAGGACAACCAACTGTGCAAAGGAGAAAACTTGGCTAGTATTTCTCTCTCCTGTCCTCGACCAGTCAATCTGCCAGTCAATATGAATTTATTGAAGATCGTTAGGTGTATCAGTCTGGACCTTCTGGAAAGCACACGCCAAGATGGGATTACACCCGCCCCAATTTTACTAGGGGATCAGCCCGTGAGAGAAAATGGGGAAGCAGTCAGGCAACCTAGGAGTGCCACCCAACATGGCTCGGGTCTGACGTGTAAAGGAGATGGGAAGTTGGGTGGATGCATTGCAGGCGGCAGGGCAGTCTGAGGAGGGTTCAGGAAGACTGAGGGGGACCTTTGGTGCACAGCCACCTGACAGAGGAGTCCCGTGTTTCCCAGGAGCCGGTCAGCCCTAGCATCGCTAATGTCCCATAAGGCGATGGGATCAGCAATCTTATCCCATGTCCTTTGTCAACACTCTAACATCTGCCACAGCCCGAGCTCCTGTGTGGAATGAAGACCCAAAGCTGTCCTTCAGAAGGGACATGGGCAAGCCCGATGGGCACTCCTCTCCTGGCACTCTATTCTCATCTCTATTATATGCCTAGCCTCGTTGGCATTTGACCCCTGGTTTAGTCAGAAGTTTGAAAGATCAATTTGCATATTGATCTGGAGAAAATGTGGTCCTTAGGCAGTTGGGAAATGTCCCTTTAAAGATACCATGGCTCTGCTGAGCTGATGCCGACAGGCAGCTGTGTCCAGACTTCCTTCAGGAGAAGGAGGCCCCTGGGTATGACAAAGGAGAGTGAAGGAGCCAGGGCTGGGCACTGCACAGAGAAGAGAATGGGGAGGGGAGGGAGTCAGGGGTGCCAGGGTCAGACTTTTATTCTGAAGGAAAAATCATGTCTCCTTGATATGTTCTTCAATATCTCTTTTTGAGGAATACCTACTATTATTATTTTTTTTTGCTTTGCATGTAGGTCTCTGCTCTCAGACCCTCACAAAGGAATTGGGGAGATTCCATAATGCCATGACTTCCTGGGATGTTACAACTTCCTCCCGCCTCCCTAGAAAAGTGTCAGCTACCCCTTGGCCACAGGATATAGCTGGCTGTCTTTGAGCTTGGCCTGGTAAGTGAAAAAGGACAAAGCAAATGCCAACACTCAGCTGGACCAATGACAGGCACATGCTGTACCAAAGACAATAGGAAAAAGGGGCTCCAGGGACAAGGCAACCTTTGATGCCTTTTCTCTCCCTGGCTGCTGTGTCAGTCTATAAGGAAAAGACCAGCAATGTCAAACCCGAGAAGGCTTTCTGGATTCAAATAACATGAGAGCTATGACTTAAATAGAACCATAAATGAATAATGAGTCCCGTCTCTTTCCATTAACACGTTCTTCCATGTGTTATACGAACGCTTAGATATTTTCTGTTGCTAATTTTACCTTGTTAGGTTTCATATTTGCGGATCTAAATTACAGATGATGGGGTTGTCAAGAAGAGGACGGGTGCTACAAAAATCACTTTAGAACAAATATAAAGCATTTTTTTTTACCCTTTTATATTCTCTCCTTATATTGTCAACTCTTAGAACCTATGGTCCTCATTCACCAGCCACAGAATGGATTAAACTGGACTATAGTGTTCACTTTCCAGTAGGTCACAAAAGATTGTGAATATTCACTCAACTCATTAAAATTAGACACATGGAGTTAAAACATGTAGCAAGTATAAATTCTGAATTTCTTTAAAAATATTTTTATTGATTTCAGAGAGAAAGGGAAAGAGAGAGAGAGAAAGAGAGAGAGAGAGAGAGAGAGAGAGAGAGAATCATTAATGATGAGAGAGAATCATTGATCGGCTGCCTCCTGCATACCTCACACAGGAGACTGAGCCCACAACCCGGGCATGTGCCCTGACCAGGAATTGGACCGTTCATAGGTCAACACTCAACCACTGAGCCACACTGGCTGGACAATTCTGAATTTCTTTAAAAAAATCACTTGGGCTTTTAGTTTAAGATGGCAGGTTGGACACATATTACTTTTGCTGTTTCTCATTATATCATAGTAAGATAATAGTAAAGGGATTTTTTTTTTAGAAAAAAAAAAAAGACATAAACCTGCAAGAAAAAGAACAGAAGAGCTAATTAGAGCAACAAAATTTTGGAAATTTAAAAATAGAAGAACCAACAGTCCTTCAGCTGGAAGTGGGCAAAGCTCTAGATGTGTGGATGAAGGTGAGCATAAAAACAGGGTAACTGAAAGACTGCTCAAGAGCCTAGTACCCAGACTTCCTCCACCACTGCAAGCAGACGAGTGGCTGCACACCCCACACCTTAACAGAAAACAGGATACCCAGCATTTGCAGAGCAGGAGTTCCAGAAAACAGAGAAATGGAAATAATCAAATAAATAATTCAAGGGAAATTTCCAGGAGTTAAGGATGTGCATTTTCTGAGTAAGAACAAGGCCCTCTGAGTGGCCAGCTCAATCGGTAAAAAAGTTGTACACCAAGGCATGTCGTCAGTAATTTCAGAATACGGGGGCACAGAAAGGTCCTAGGAACTGAGAGAGAGAGAGAGAGAGAGAGAGAGAGAGAGAGAGAGAGAGAGGGGATTATATACAAAGGGTCAAAACCAGAATGGCTTTTTATTTCTGAACAAAAGCACTGGAAGCTAGACGATAATTTTGAAGATATTTGAGAGTCTATGTCCAACCAATTGTTCATTAAAAGTGAGAGAAGATTAAAAAATAAAAAGAGCTTGTCTCAAAAACTTTACTTTTCATGCATCCCTTCTCAAAAAGCTACTGGAAGATGTGCTCCACTAAAATAAGGGAGTAAACCACTTGCTACATAAAAATATGTTACAATAACTCATCATACCAGCTAATAAGAATCCGATATAATAAAAAGGTAATATGCAAATTGACCATCACTCCAACACACAAGATGGCTGCCCCTATGTGAACACAAGATGGCCAGCAGGGGAGGGCAGTTGAAGGGGACCAGGCCATCAGGGGAGTGAAGTTAGGGGTGACTGGGCCAGCAGGGGAGAGCAGTTGGGGTGATCAGGCTGGCAGGGGAGCAGTTAGGTGTTGTTAGGCCTGTAGGGGAGGGCAGTTAGGGGCAATCGGGTTGGCAGGGGAGCAGTTAGGTGTTGATCAGGCTGGCAGGGGAGTGGTTAGGGGGTGATCAGGCTGGCAGGCGGGCGAGTGGTTGGGAGCTAGCAGTCCTGGATTGTGAGAGGGATGTCTGACTGCCTGTTTAGGCCTGATCCCGGTGGGGTCCCAGATTGGAGAGGGTGCAGGCTGGGCTGAGGGACACACACACACACCCATGCATGAATTTTGTGCACCGCGCCTCTAGTCTATAATAATACGTGAGGAAAAACTTCAGAATAGTGAAGGAAGATCCTAAAAAACAGAAAAAATGAGATTCCAAAATTAAACTTTTCTATCAGGCTTAGAAAATAACCTAGCCAGATTAGAGGTCAGAAGACTCAGAAGTAATGAGGCTGAAAGCACAAAATTAATGGAATATCTGAGAATTCTGAACCCATGGAAAGGATACTAGAGGGCTCTGGGAACAGAACATAGAAAACTAAGCAACAAATGAATAACAAAAAAGGTAATTATAAACCACAGGGAAAACAGACTTGGGCAGGAAAGGAAGATGAATTATTAAGTATTAATGGCTCAGCCATAAATAATGGTCACAGAGTCATAGTAAACTAAGCATAGACTACTGTCTAACCAAATTTATGATATTACTAGTTGGGGAGAATGGAGGAACGGGCAGAAAGGGCAGGTGGGGCTAAAATAGACCTAAATCCTTCTCTTCCATACTGTGAGTTCACTGGAGAATGTCTGAAACTACAAAAATCAAGTAATTTCCGTCAAAGAAAGTTATTTAGAGATATTGAGCAAGTAGCAGGAACAACCAATCTAATGAGAAATATTCGCCTCAGAAGAGTGGGAAATTGGTGCTGGGGGGCTGGAAGATGGCTGTGTTTCTGAATAAGCCTTCTAGATCTGATTGCCTCCTTAAACTCTGTGCATATATAACTTTAATAAAAATAAAAACTAAAATAGAAAGAAAGTATGATACAAGTTATCCACTTAGATTTACTGCGTAAAGAAATAACACTTTGCACTAGGTCTAAGATGTGAAGTCTGGATGCACAGTGAAATAGTTTATCTCTTTATAAACAGAATAGCTTTCAATGTCATCAAATATCAGTTCCAGATTCAGAACCCACACTTAGCAATACCAATTATTTTCTCTATAGAACCAATAAACTAGAGGACAAGTAAGACAGAGTAAAACCAGCGAAGAATTTCTTTACACAGTCCAGAGCAGCAATTTTCAACCTTTTTCATCTCATGGCACACATAAACTAATTACTAAAATTCCGAGGCACGCCAACAAATACATTATCCTTTTTGCCTATATGTAAAAAAATAGGTATAATTTTGATTCATTCACACTGGATGGCTATTATTATGTTGGCTGTAGCCATTTTTTAAGGGGGTGGGGGGCTGGAAGGTGGCTGTGTTTAATGGAATATCTGAGAATTCCATTAGGCTGGCAAGGGAATGGTTAGGGAAAAAAGGTCAGTGTCCCTGACTAAATAATTAGATATTTCATGTTTTAAAAATTCTTGAAAATCATTGCTCTATGTTGGCCCACATACGGAAAAGTTGCGGGTTCAATTCCTGGACAAGGGCATGTACTTGGGTTGTAGGTTTATTTACTGCATGTGGGAGGCAACCAATTAATGTGTCTCTCTCACATCAATGTTTCTCTCTCTCCCCCTCCCTCCCTTCCACTCTCCAAAAATCAATGGAAAAAATACCCTCGGGTGAGGATTAACAAACAACAACAACAAAAACAACAAATCACTGCTCTAGAGAGCATTGGTTTTTTTTTTTTTTTAATTTAAATTCTTTGTTGTTTAAAATATTACATAAGTCTCCTTTTCCCCCCATTG